ATTGAGTGCACGAGTTTTCCTGCTGCGACAATTAATTCTATTACAGAAGTATAAAAGAAAAGTAGACCATTAAATAGTGTACCTTTCCAATTTTCCTATGGTCTCGGTTTCTGGCTTCCTCCTGGAATTTTTCCCATTCCTTCATCATTTTGTTATCCGGAAAGGATATTCCATATATCCTCTGCAGAGTTTCCATGTCAGATTTTCCTTCCCAATATGTAGAGGAATTCTGATGCACAAAACCCATACTTTAAGACAGTATTATATAATCTCAAGGAAAGGAGGAATAAATACTAATGCAATTAAGTGTTATTATTTCTTTCCTTGGGAAAAGAATTATGTGCAGTCATCCAGCATTTGTTTATAATACAAAGATACCTGAATTGCCTTTTAGTCAACAAACTAATACAGAAGACATACATGAACATGACTAGTCAAGTCATACTTTTATGCTACTTTGGCATGTTACTGCACTAATACTCTGATAAAAAAAAGATGCTGTTAACTTTCACTGATGCACTATTGTGATGGTCAAGAATCAGTAAACCTTGGAAGCAGACTAATGATGAAAGTCTGTAGTTCTCCTTACACAATGGGAAAGAAATGAAGGACTATTTTCAGAATAAGTAAAGAAAACAATACAAAGGACCCCAGCATAATCACTTTGGGAGAAATAAACACATAAATAAATCAACAGACCCATAGTTTAGTTAAGTTTTAACGCACAGTTAATTTAAGCTTACCTTAAATATTTTAAGGGCCTTAATTTTTCCAGTGTGTCTCACATGTGGACCCCTGCAGAGATCAATCAGTGGACCACATCTATACACAAAAATAAAAAAGTGTTTATTTAAAAACACTCCAACATTTTTAAATACAGTCACTAATGGCATACAAGTTAATGCTTTACAAGTCCATACACACTAAAAAGTATACATATGCAACACTGCAAATTCAGTGCATCTTAAATGAGATCATGCCTTCTACCTGAAGCAGAATATGCACTCAGTAAATACTCAGCACACTTGATCCATTATCAAGAGCATGGTAACACACTCAGCAATTCATATAGTTCCATATGTAAACTTTGTTAAAAGCTGGCCAGGAAGTTTCAAACTATGCACATCAAACAGGAAAAAAAAAAGTTTTTGCCATTTTCCAACTTGGTTTTATCCCCAGCAATTGAATGAACAGGACCTTCACCCCACAATGAGCTCAGAGTTAGCTTTACCCATTATCCAGCAATTCAATGTCACAGGTGGCAACTTCTTTTAATCTGTTTATTGAAACCAGACAGAATGAGCAAGAAGTGGATTTGCCACAAATTCAGACCTAATCTGTGCCAGCAGAGAAACAAAAGATATGATTTTACTTAAGTAGCAATACGAATTTCAAACTTAAGTCCCAATCACACAAGTATTCAGAAATTAGAATTAAAAAATAATCTCTCAATGTAAATGAACTATAGAAATATTTCATAATACTTTTTAACCTAATTTTCTTTACCTGTATATTGTGGTAGTTGGTGTGTTCACCTTCTCATTAAGGATACGACACTTAAACTTGTTATACTGTGTAGG